ATTAGGAAGTGACCTCCCCAAAAAATGCAGAAATGACTTTATTGTATTAAAATAATTAATTTATGTTAAATTGAAGCTGTTTCAGTTTATATACCAAACTTTTTCCCCAAAATAAAAATCTATCTGAGGGCTGTGGCCAAATACAATAATATAATTCATGAAATACAAATACTTCTTAAGTTCAGTCCTTTTATTTTTAATGATTGTCCTGATGGAGTGTGACATGATTTGTTTGTGTACAAAGGAATACGGTATCAGAATTTTATATATTTATACTTCTCATTAAACCACAATTAAATTCACTAGGAGGCACAATTTATATGGATAGTATTTATTTTTTACAGTAAGTAGCTGAAATGAAAACAAGAAAAAATTTAAATAAAAGTAACAACTTTCTACTTCTTGCCTTTGTAAAAATGTAAGGAGTAGAAAGTACAGATAACTGTGTGAAAATAATTACTCAAGTAAAGTACAGATACCCAAAAATTCTACTTAAATACAGTAACAAAGTATTTGTACTTAGTTACTTTACAACTCTGCCAGAATCTGACTGCATGGTTCATTCAAATAGAATGCTCAACTGGGTTGCCAGATAAGAAGTAATCACTGCTGGACATGGTTCTGATAATCAGATAATAAAGGATCTAATTTTAAGTTAAGCAGATTAGCTTTTTCACTAACTTTAAAAATTGTTATCGGACCAAATAACTTCTACTAATTTAGGTTTTGCCAACTTTAAGTTTGTTAACAGCTAACTGACGAGCTAACATCAACAGGTTTGTTAGTTTTTCTGTGTCTAAATTGTATTATATTTTTAAAAAACTTTATTGTTTATCGTATAAAGACCCTAAAACTATGAAATAAATTATTGTATCTCTGGCAACATTAGCACTAAATGTAAACAAAGCCCTTTAGTCTGTATTGGGCTTTTATTTGTGACCTGTTTTTTGTCACTTCAACATATCTGTTGGTAAACATTGTTTACAATTTTGTTTTATTTAGRGGCACAGTCATCATTAAGTAAATTAACACTTCTATTACTTTAGAGAATTTTCAAAATGTAAAAAAAAAATGCATCATTTTGCATTTGATCCATTAAGCACCTTTGTCAAAATATAGGTATTTATGAAATAGAAAACTAAATGGGAACTGATGCAGAGCTAAACCACTAGATGGAGGGCTTGTGAACTCCAGAAGACCTACATAAAACACGAGACACAAAAATAACCCCTATTTCAACAAAATTTGCGTGAAATGTAAATAACAAATGCAACAATTTGCAAAAACATAATGCAGCATGGTAAACATGTTTAAACGTAGAAATTGCTTTATTGTTGAGAAAAGATGAGGTAATTTTGAACGTGATGAAAGGTTCATATGTTGCACAACTTAGACAAAACTAGCAAAAAGAAGTGAAAAAAGGAGATCAATGGGATTTTGACAAAACACATTGTTTCACAGCAGAAACATCTTTCAGAGTTTAAACGTAAAGTTGGTCTTTAAAAGCCTGAAATGGCTCACTTTGTAAACCATCTCTACGATTTAAAGTATTTCAACACAATAAGCTGGAAATATTTCAGATGATGTGCAAACAGAAAGAACAGATCTGTGAGTTTGTTCAGGACTTGTGTGGTCTGGATCTTAATATTCCACTGATGAGCTTCACCACCATCAGCCCACTGAAAACAGATCAAATTAAATTCATAAAGGGACTTTAAAAGACGTCCAAACATAGTGGATAGAGAAACCATCATTATTACCTGGCTAAAGTCATTRAACCAGCTGGGATGAACTTCCAGGAGCTGAGAAACCTCAGTCCCATCACTACAGCCAGAGTTCCTGCTGTGCCTGAAGGAAAAGAGGACCAGCTGACAGAGGACAGATGACACAAGGCGACTTTTAGCTTCACGAAATGCTTTCACTCACCCAAAGAAAGCCACACCTTACTGGGATTCTGAGATGCCAGATAAGCTCCGGCTGCAGCCGACAGACCGAACAGGAGTCCTGCCACCAGAGACGTGACGCTGCCTGGGGAGGGACCAAAGTGACTCTTCTGTTTGTATTCAGCTAACAAAACAGCTGCGTACAGACAGGACTGGAGCTATGGAGAATTTTATTTATTTTTATTTTATTTTATTTTACTTCTGCCACATTTTCTCAGAAAAATCCAAACTCTGAATTCTGAAATGAACATTAGATTTTCAGACTAAAATATACACACACACACACACACACACA